ACTTTTATAGGCATAGATATATATGTTGATATTTCTTTGAATGATTTGAGTGCTTTTGATGGTGTGATTATTGATAGCTTTTCTATTATTCTCAGGCTGATCAAAAGGCTGGAACCTTGAAAGAAGAGATGGCCCGTGTTCTTCCACAAGTGGATGAAATGCAGAAAAGAAAAATAGATAGAAGAAACCAATTTTTAGAAGTCCTAGAACAAATACAGAAGATATCCTATGAGATTTATGGATCAGAATTTTCACATTCCAGTATAGATATTGATGAAAATGATTTATCATTGAGGAAGCTAGAAGAACTAACGGGAAAGTTACATATGCTACAGAAGGAGAAGGTTAACTTTGTTGATTTTTTTTAATAAGTTCGTTATATACTTTTTTTAGATAGATGCCTTTCGTACTATCAGTCACTCAGTAAACTCGATACCCACTTATGCAGAGTGACCGGCAGATGGTTATTCAGGAGCACCTTCAGACTCTAAACTTGCTTTGTTTAGTGCTTGGGATGGATTTCAAGCAAAAAGTGAACGAATTTCATCCCACTTTGGGTGACCCAGAAGGACCTTTTAACTTAACTAGTGAATCAATTGAAACCCTGGCTGCTGCAATAACTAATTTGCGGGAGGTCAAATTACGAAGAATGCAGCGGGTATTACCTCAAACCTATATATCCGTAGATAACAATTTAAAACCTATCTGCCTTGAATTAGCTGCAATAACACCTTTTTTGGGCAGCTCCAAGATCTTGCTACAACTTTGTTGGAGCTTTGGAATCTAATGGATACGCCAATGGAAGAACAACAGTTGTTCCAGAATGTGACATGTAATATAGCTGCTTCAGAAGATGAAGTAAATGAACCCAATAGTCTTTCTGTGGACTCAATTAATTCTGTGAGTACTTCCGAGTTTGTATCATCTTGCTCTTCTGCTATAACAAAACTTGCATGTCATAGAAACTTAAAGAATTGAATATAGATTAATAATGATTAATATTTTACAGGTTGAAGCAGAAGTGTCTCGGTTAGAAGAGTTAAAATCAAGCAAGATGAAAGAACTTGTTTTGAAGAAGAAGTCAGAGCTGGATGAGATTTGTAGAAAAACACATTTGGTCCTTGAGGAAGATACAATAGTGGATTATGCAATTGAAACTATAGGCTCCGGTAACTTTCAGTGTAATATAAAACAAAATATTACTGCTTCTTCCTTTTGTTGTTTTATTAACTTGTATGCAATTCCATCTGATGTAGGAGATGTTGACCCTGCCATTATTCTCGAGCAAATTGAGCTTCAGGTTGCCAGGATTAAAGGGGAAGCATTTGTGAGGAAAGAAATTCTTGAAAGAGTTGAGAAATGGTTGGCTGCATGTGAAGAGGAGTGTTGGCTCGAGGAGTATAATAGGGTAAAGTGTTTATCACGCTCCATTACACCAACTAGTTGATCTATATGGTTTAAATCTAGCTGCATCCTGACATTATTTGTGTTTCACAGGATGAAAATAGATATAATGCTGGTAGAGGGACACATCTCATTCTCAAACGCGCAGAGAAGGCCCGAGCTTTGGTTAATAAGCTTCCAGGTTTGTATTGAAACAGTTTAGTACACTTTTGAAGACATTCATTCATTAAGTTGGTATTCAATAAATTCAATTCGTGCCTTTATGTGCTTTATTATGAAGTGTTCAGACCAGCAGTCATGTCATTGGCTTTCTTTTCTGTATGTTATCTTCATGTCTTTGAATATCATAACCATCTTATGCAGGAATGGTAGATGCATTAACTGCAAAAACGGTTGCATGGGAGAATGACAGAGGCACTGAGTTTACATACGATGGTGTAAGTACTTCATATGATATTTTAATTGTCAATTGTTTGTTCAACTTAATATTCTTGCAGAAATTGTTCAACATTTTCTTCTGTAATCGACTTCGGTACAGGTCCGTCTGCTCAATATGCTTGAAGAGTATACCGTATTAAGGCAAGAGAAAGAGCACGAGCGTCGGAGGCTGCGGGTTGATACTTACTATCCTTCTAGTTTCCTACTGTTATATTGCTCAACGGACACACCAACTGTGCTGATTGACTTTAAAGTGGCCATTTTCCATACTGAAAAGCTGACTTGTTCAGTCAAGTCCTTATTTCTTTCTCCTTGTTTTATTTGATTAGGACCAGAAGAAACTCCAGGGACAGTTAATTGCAGAACAGGAGGCTCTTTATGGATCAAAGCCAAGCCCTTCAAAACCCCAGAGTGTTAAAAAGGCTCCTAGATCTTCAGCCGCAGGTAAGAGGCTTTCCATTGGAGGGCCCGCGCACCAAACGCCCAAGGCAACACCTCAGTCACGTTCATCTAGGAAGGGTGACCAGCTGAATGATCAAAACTATGATGAAGGATTTGGAGCTCTTCCAACTGCTGGTATGTTTTTCTCGCTAGTTATTATTGATCATCTGGGTTATACTTTTGCCATGAATACACGTACGTACGTCTATTGAGACCATAATCTTCAATATGGCAATAGTATTTTCTGTGTATTCATTTGAAGTCAATACTCAAACTTATATTTAAAGCCTTTTTTATTATTATTATTATTTTATGGTTTTTGTTTTTAGAGGATGAAACTTAAGAAATTTCGTGAACATTAAATGTTTTACTGTTCGAATGACTTTTAACAAAAAGAACAAAAAGAAGAAAGTTCTTCGGAAGTCCTTTTTTAAAAGTATCATAATTTAACCAGCATGCATATATATATATATATATATATTTGGAATTTAGGTCAGACAAAGTAAGTAGAACGTTGAAAAGCAATGATATTTTACAAACAGAATACCAAAAGTGAAAATGTCATTGAGCGTTCTTGAACCTTTCCAGTCAAAAACATAGTTGTGAAGAAACGGCTTTATTTCTTTTCCCTTGTCCGTTGTAATACCATACCAACGTTAAGACATTGTACAGCCATTTTTATTAGTTCTTGTTCGTTGATTTATTGATGAGTTCTGTTCAGCTTTTGGCAGTAGTTTGATATTCTTGTGCCTCTTTCTTGTTTTAGGCCAAAGAGAACTTGATTTTTCTGGTCAACTTGTGAGCCACAACAACTTACTGGCCAATGCTCGTGAACTCGAGTCGGTGACTCGAAAACCTTTTGCACCGATTGCTACAACAGTGCAACCAAAGACGAACACAACGAACTCTATCAATGATGAAAACACAGCATCTAGTGACTCATCACAAAAAACAAGCCCAACCAACAATGTGCCATTTGCCACACCTTTAAAGAAGACTATAGTTGCTAAAGATGAAGACCAGGGCATCATGACTCCAAAGCCAATGACAATTCCAGTGCCATCTACCCCTTCAACTCTTTCAGTTGCAATGCAGACTGCTACAACCCCGGCAATCGCCCCGCCTCCTGCTTACAAAGCTGAGCAAATCCCTGACGACGACATCGAATATTCATTCGAGGAACGAAGAGCTGGATTCGTGCTTCCGAAAACGCATATAAAATCGATACAAGTTTGATGGATAACCAAATGGTTGGGTGGTTTGCTTGCCTCTGGCGTGTGATGAGTCTCAATGACCTTAACAAAGTTTATCGTGGTTAGTTTTTGTAGTTGTTGTAGAGAAACTCTCAAGTCAATTCTATTTGGCTTTTTTGGTCTAACTGTGAATATATTCTTATCAAGAACATTAAGAGAGATGGATTGTGACGTCTGGGTAAAAACTTTTACAAATGAAAGAAACTATTTTTTTTAAATGAAATTTTACTTATATGCTATGAAGAAGTTTTCACACTCTTATAAGGAATTATTAGTTATTCTCTCCAACCGACGTGGAATCTCACATGTATACCAGTGATGAGTATCACATGGTTTATATATAACTACTCCATACAAAGCCCGAAGATGTGTAGAAGATCAAAATATTTTCAGGTTTGAAGACTTCGAAGATACATCAAAGATTAAACTTTGAGAACGAACAAAGTTCATACGAGCAACAAAAATTATATGCAAGTAAAGGTATATATTGATTGTTGTGCACGAAAATCGAAGATAATTTGGATCTTTTAAACTATGTTAAACTTTGACAACGAGAGAATTTTTTTTTAAATTTCTTAGGAACCATTTAAGTAAGAAAAAAAGTTAAAAAGTTTTAGAGCGTAGAAAAAAAAAAGTGAAAATTCAAAGTTATTAATTATTAATTATTAATAATAATATTATTATTATTTTTGTATCTTTGAAAATTTATCCTTTCTCCATTAATTTTATGGGTTTTAATAATATAATATAGTATCTCAAGAATTAAATTCAAATCAAATTAGAAGACGGACGTGAACAATTTTATTAACCAAAATCTATACTTTGAATTTCCCAAATATAATATTAATTATCTATTAAACTTTTTCACCTTAATTTTTCTTTTCCTGATTTAATTTTATTTAATTTTCCCATTCCTTTTTTCTACTTTATTTATTTCCTCTCATTTCCCTTTGCAAAACCCTAATTTTCTGCCTCTGGAAAAAATTTATGCGATCATTCTGATTTGTTTGGATTATTTTTCCTGACTTTCCGAGAAATTATTTTTACTGTTTTTTTTTTATTTTTTTTTTTAATTTCCTTTTTACGATCTTTGGGTCAGTGATTTGTTGGATTTTCCCTTTACTGAAGCTCTGTGTAATAGTCTGTAATGGTGGAGATTTAGGTTACTGAAACGAAACTGAGTTCAAGTTGTAGTACTGAAGCTCAGGTTCCTGATCTAGAAGCAGTTCTAGTGTAGGTTTTGAGTTTGATGTTTTAGTCATAGGCTCTGGATTTCATCTCACTTCATTGGCTGTGTTCTTGTGTTATTATTTCGTTGTCTTCTTCATTGAGAGCTTCTGCGTTGACGTTATGGTTTGTAAAAGATCGTCTGTGGTGTGAATAATGGAGGTTTTTAAGGTTTAAGCGGTGAGTTTGTGTTTTTTTGCTTTTGAACCGATCTTTTTTCTTTCTGTCACTGTAAAAATGGAGGAGAAAGAGGGAGTGGATTTCGGATTTGCAGTAGAAGTGAGCCAAGCTCCAGAGAGCTTAGGAATGATGGATTTGAGACCTGAAAATACAAGCACAGATAGTGAGTCACCGCCGCCGCAGCCGCAGTCGCAGTCGCAGTCACAGCCGCTGGCGAGTGTTCCAACGGTGGCGGCTACAGATGGGAAGAAGAAAAGAGGGAGGCCGAGAAAGTACGGTCCCAATGGGACTGTAGCTCCAACTTTGTCGCCAATGCCGATTTCGTCTTCGATTCCGCTGAGTGGAGAATTTCCGGTTTGGAAACGGGGAAGAGGGCGGTCAGTAGAGTCGATTAAGAAGCCGCGACGAGGGTACGAATTTGAGATTCCAGGTATATTTGAGATCATTTGATGATTTGAAATTCTGTTATGGCGGTCTTGTGTTCTCTCTCTCTCTCCCTCTCTCTCTCTCTCTCTCTCTCTCTCTCTCTCTAATTGTGAGAATCTCCGTACTTGTAGGAAAGATAAGAGGGGTCAGTGTAGTTATATTTGGTGTAGAAAGTGATGGTTTTAAACGTATTTTTTTGGATTTTGTACAGTAGAATCACGAGGGAATGTTTGTTGGGTCTTGATGTGATAGTGATTTCTCTTCAGATCTGCTGTAAATAGTAATTTATGAATCAAAAGTGACTTTGGAGCCTTCTGGAAAATCGATGAACTTTCTCCCTAGGATAGAATAGAATAGCCTTTGAGAACATAGCCATTGTTTGTCTGGATCTGGAGAATCTAGCCTGAGTGAAGTTTCCAAATTGGCTGCTTATAATAATCAATGGAAAATGGAAGGAAAATTCAGGGAGCAGCATTATTATGAAGTGTTGGTTTAACTTGAAAGTGGATGAAGTGTAGGCATCGGAATATTAGTTTGTTGAAAGTAAATAATTATGAAACAATGCTTGGTAGTTCTGTTCTTCATCATTTTCCCCTTTTTCTGCTTCCTTTAATGGAAAATTGAAGTCTAATGCCATGAAAACAGAGTATGGAATAACAGAGGATAAGATATCCTCTTTTAAGACTCTAAAAGTTACAGGTCATTGATAGTTTTCTGAGTCCAAAGTGTGAGTTGAGGATGTTCGCTGATATGACGTCCAGCTAGACTTTTGAACTCTTAACCATTTACATTTTAAACTAGATTCGAGAGATTCATGATCCGGGGTCCTAATGCATATCGATACAAATGGTCTAATGAGAGAAAAAAAGTCATACCTTGAAACCTCCTTGGTTCGTAGCCATGTGCTTTAATCATTTGAGCTACTTGTCCCACTTTGTCTCCATTGGATTTGTTTCCGAGGGTGCTCTAAAAAAAAGGAATCTTTCCTCTCTCTAGACATTTGCCATTTCGGGTTAAGAAGATGTCAAAATGCCTCTCTCTCCTTTATTTGATTTGGTTACTCATGCTTAATCAAAAGCGTGGTTGTTTCTAGGATTTGGGTCCGGTATTCAGTCAATGGAATTATTTGTTGGATATTCTCGAGATAATAGTTAGGGTATGGTTCTTATGAAGGTTTATTAAAAAAAAAACATCAAAATATATTCAGGAAGAGTTACTTGACAAGGTTTTTTTGTCTCTCTTTAAGGGTCATATTAATGTTGACACGAGAAGTTAGGGGTATTGGATTATTGGATTTTTTTTTTTTATTGAAAATTTGAAATGATATTTTCAGGTAATATGTTCTTGGTTTTTCTTGAAATTTATGCTGATTTTCGTCATGGTAAATGAGATTATTTAAAAAGAAATATTGAACAGTATTTTGTGCCGATCATTATTTAATGGGTATGGTTGTAACTGATATCATAAATTAATATTCAGAAGTCTGGCCATACAATTTTAATATAAATGAAGAAACTTCATTTCGTTTCTAAGTGGTTCTTACATAATGCATCTGTTACTCAGGTAACAAGGTTGCCTTCATTGCTGGGGCAGATTTCACACCTCACGTGATCACTGTTAATATTGGTGAGGTAAGCCTTAGAATCCCTCGCCAAGAGGCATCTATTCTATCATCAGGGAATAAGTCTTGGATCAAATAATAATAGGTTAGCTAAATGATTGGAGAGTGGAATAAGCATTTAAGGGTGTGGAAACCTCTTCCTAGCGTTTTAAAACTGTGAGGCTGATGGTGATACGTAACGTGCCAAAGCGAACAATATTTGCTAGCGGTGGACTTGGACTGTTACAAATAGTATCAGAGCCAGACACTGAGCTATGTGCCAGTGAGGATGTTGGGCCTCCAAAGAGGGTGGATTGTGAGATCACATCGGTTGGAGAGGGGAACGAAACATTCCTTGTACGAGTGTGGAAACCTCCCCTAGTAGACGTGTTTTATAACCGTGAGGCCGATGACTATATGTAATGGGCCAACGCGAACAATATTTGCTAATGGTGGGTTTGGGCTGTTACAAATGATCTCTTAGCTCCTATTTGTTCTTAATGCCTAGTTGCCAATTGTTCCTAACGCCCATTTCCTGCCGTTTTAGGATGTTAACTTGAAAATCATGTCATTTTCTCAACAAGGATCTCGGGCAATTTTTATACTCTCTGCTAATGGTATGGTTTCGAATGTTACACTTAGGCAGTCAACATCTTCTGGGGGCACTCTTACGTATGAGGTAGGTCGTTGCCTTCCTTGATATACATACCATCTAAGCTCCTCTGTATTGATGAATTTGAAGTCTATAGGTCTGCTACATGCATCTTCTATATGATGAAGGCATGTTTGATCTTATTGCTCATTCCACACTTCATTTCTAATTCAAATGTCTGACTGCAGTAAGATCTGATTGTTTTCTTTCCCATGTCATTTTTTATGCATGCTCATTGACAATTGAGGATAATATACTTCTTTTACTGTTTGCATTTGACCAAGTTGAATATTTTTCTTTTATCTTCTGGAATACCCCCTCAAAACATTTGAAATGATCTTGATGCTAGTTGTCTTGTACAAATACTCAAATCAACTGTTTTTCGGCTGGGATCGATGTATTGCTTGCTTGTTTCGCCTGTCCTGTCTCATGTCAATAAATAAGTAAAATGGTAGCTTTCCAGAATCAGTCTCACATTTTGACTTAGAATTTCAAACCATATATAGCCATAAGTTCTCTTTCAGCAAATGTATAGGAATTTTGAGAAAGGACTGAAATTTTGCACATGTTCATACAAGAGAAAATCACTGGCAAAGTTGGGCCTCTTTGGTAGGCAATCTGGATTTTGTTTTATGTCTCATTTACTAGGCAATCTAGATTCTGTTTATGAAAACTGTTTTTGGATTTTGTGATCTAGATTTTGAATTTAAAATTTTAAAATGCAGAATAATGTTAAAAAAAGATAAAAACGTTAATAAATATAGTATTTCATGTTATAAATAATTTATTCATGTTATATTTAAATATTGACTATACAAAATAGTTATCACACAGTTTTTGTAACTTAAAACATGTTCATAAATAAATTAATAATTGTTTAGTGGGCAATTATGACTAGTTTTATGGTTTATAGATAAATTATTTCATACAGAACATGAACATGAAATACAACAAAATTGAATGTTTTGGTTTCAAATTTCTGTTTTCAGATGGTTTGTTACTTCTCCTTCATATATTGAATTCTTTTTCATTTAAACAACTACGATGGTGAGATCTCACATCGGTTGGGGAGAGGAACAAAACATTCTTTACAAGAGTATGAAAATCTCTCTTTAATAGACAGCTTTTTAAAAACCTGGATTGAAAACTTAAAAGGAAAAGTCCAAAGAGAACAATATCTGCTAGCGGTGGGTTTGGGTTGTTAAAACGATTGTTTCAAATGTTACTTGTTATTGTTAGCCGCTCTATGCAAATGTATCCCTGCATCTTATCAACTGTCATGGTAGAACTTCCTGATCTGTTCTTGATTATTAGGGTCGATTTGAGATACTTTCATTGTCTGGATCATATATGCCTTCTGAGAGCGGTGGAACAAAGAGCCGATCTCGAGGGGTGAGTGTTTCTTTGGCTGGCTCAGATGGCCGAGTGATGGGTGGAGAACTTGCCGGCAGGCTGATAGCAGCTGGTCCAGTACAGGTATCATTTTCTCCATCTCCATATGGTACAACTTTTATGTTAATGCATATGAATATAATTCTAAACCATCAGCTTCAGTATTAATTTGTTTAATACAAAGTATTACTGTATAACTACATGATCACAGGTGGTGGTGGGCAGTTTCCTACCACCAGTTCACCAGAAGGAACATAAACCAAAGAAGAGTAGGATGGAACCTAAATCGAACGCAATTTTACCTCCAGCCGATGTTCTTTCTGGCGAAGGGACGAACGGAGTCCTTGGCGGAGTGGAGGCCATAGTCCCATCTACTCTAATTGAAGATAAACCAGCCTCTTTAGACCAAAATCCAGCTTTTAAAACTCCACAAGTCAACGAAAAGTTACCTTTTCCACAAGAATCAAGAGGTGTACTCAACCATTCAAACCATGAGGTTTCTTGTTGATCATAATCGTCCCCTGCACGTTCAATCTTTCATGCAGATTTGCTGGTGCATTGGCTTTTCCTCGACCTCGATTATCAATGGTATGAGCTCATTGATTCCTTAAAGGGCTAACTAAGAGTGTTTAAACAACTGACGTATATGTGGCCATCAGGTAACATCTCTAGATAGGAGTTTGATGCTTTAGGCTTATTTGTTCTGTTCTCAGCATGTAGGTTCTTGTGTGTTGTATCCCAATTAACGTTATAGCAGTTTAGGTGCAGAAGTTTGTGTAAATTATTCATGTTCTAGAATTCTCTGTATCTGAAATAATAACATTTTAAGTTAAATTTCAAACACTGTTTTCCAATGTTCTATTTGTGTACGTATTCTTTTATCTCAGGCCTGGCTGGCTTTTGTTAATAAGGTTCTGTAGATCACCATGCATTCGGTGCAACTTCCTTCATTATAATAGTTGGTCATGAAAGATCATCTTAGCTCCTAAGATCTGCATAAGGATCATTGCCCAGATGTTCTTATTCGGAAGTAATGAATTTGATGTCATTTGGCCGGGATGGCGGTAAAGCAACCTGGTTTATGTTGATCGTTAACGCTTAGATTAAATTTGAGCTATTTGATTTGTGTTCTAATGAAACCATGAAGCAAGATTCTAGAAACCATTCCAGTTTTATTCAAAACGCTAGAGAATTGCAACTTCGCAGATTTGTTCTAATTGAATCTGCTTGATTCTCATGCGTTTATGTGTATCTTCTTCAAAATTCTGACATTCTTATGTTAGAGCACAAGTTCCATGAATTCAATTCATTCAGTTTAAGCTGGCCAAATGATATCGACGACCCAGCTACTCGACTGATCTCGAGGTTCTTTGCCTTTCTTCTCTCTATCCTCTGTTAACTTTTTTGATTCTTCCACTGTTCGCCTTAAATCATCCTCATTCTCACTTACTAAAACATTATCATTGCAGCTGAAGTTTATGCATCTTGTCGCTGCCAACATGTGGAATGTTTCAGAAACATGAAATCTTGATTTGTATTTGTGTTACTGCAAATAACAAACGAAAGTTGTCCATTATGATCATCATTTTGCAGATATGATCAAAACTGGAGATGACTTGTCCTGTGGTGAAGAGACTGATGCGTATGATCACATTGAAGAACCAGAATCTCTGAAATCTCTCTTCTTCTTCTTTGGAGTTCTCCCTTTTCCTCCCGAGCGATCGGCAGAAGACACCCCCCCCGGCCTCTTCTCTCCAACTTTGTCACCTCCTGCAAAACCAGTCTTTTGCCCGCTGAGACGGTATTGGACAGGAACAGCGTGTCGAGTATAGTAGTTGGTAAGGAGTGGCTCAATGAGAAAGAGGTTTTGATTAAAACATTTATCTATGACTCAATCATATAAACTTTAAAATAAAAAATGAACTAGTTTGGATTGAAAGCAATTTAATTTTATTATATTATATATATATATATATATATATATATATATATATATATATATATATAATATTTTTGAAAAATATATAAAAAATAATTATTTATTGAGGTGAGAAAGACCGATGAGCTTATTAGATGTCTCACCCAAACCAAACCCAACTTTTTTGACTTTTTTGTCACAAATCCCATCCCACATGATTTTCATTATCAAATATTATTTAATTAAATAAAATAAAATAAATAAATAAATAAATAAATAATTTATATTTATTTCCATTTGGGGCCTCCAAATAATAATTCCCTTCTCATTCTTTTCTTTTTCTTTTTCCTCCCAATCTCATCATTCTCTCTTAATAATTTATTCAAATGTAATATCATTTGGTATAATATTGGATGTTTTTCCTTTTCTTTTTTAATTTCTTATGGCCTTTTGGATCAAATTTGTTTCCTTCCCGAGAAAAGTGATAACTTTATCGACAAGTTATTAGTGATATTCGTGTAAATTTTTTTATTTATTTATTTGATTCGTTTTAGATGTTCTACCATTTATAAGAATTTAAGAAATAAGTATTAAAAATAATCATAGGAATCGTCAAGGTTTTCGATAGGTTTAAATTAACTCTGTCTAGTTTGAGGGATTCATCAACTATGACAAAACACGTTACCTACTTATTTTGAAGCTCCACCGAAAAGAAAGTTACATCTTCTTCATACCGGTAGTAACTTCATCTTCAACTATCCTATCCTTAAGATCATTCTCATTTGGGTATGATACCGGTTCATTCATGCACTACTCTTTTGTCTTGGATCGTTCTCGAACCATATCTTACTAGGTCATGTACCGCTTCGATACCATTTGTAACCTCATGATCATTCCTTGGATTAGGATTTGGAATCCAAATTCTGACATTATCCTACCTCCACTGCAACATAATCATATTGTTTAATTGTCTTGAAGTTCTTTTAATAGTGAAAAACTACTGTCCCCACACCAGTTTCTGCCTTGGAACGTACTCGAACCATATCTTGTTAGAGTAGGTATCACTCCGATATCATTTGTAACCTCATGCCCAATCCTCAAATCAAGATTTGAAATTCGAATTCTAACATTCTTCTGCATCCACTGCGACATGACCCTGTTGTTTGCTTGCCTTGAAGTGTTCGTAAGAGTGGTCCCACAAATTAACACAGATACTTTCAACGTGTTTTCTCCTCACTCACATGTTTCCACTCTTTAAAATTCTTATTATATAATTTATAAATATTTGATTAATTTCCAAATATGGCGTTAATAATTATTCACCAAGGCTCCATTATCTTTAGGTCCTATCAGAGCTTTAAAAGTGAAATAATAATGATTTTAAAAAAAATAGTGTTCTTCCTTTTTACTCAATTAATTAAGGTAATTAATCATAAAATATTTATTAATTAGCCTAATAAGTACTCCACCAATTCCTTAATCATTACAATTTTTTAAAATAATAATATATATATCAAATAAAAAATTTTAATTCTTTAAATCATAATTTAGCTATCAATATCACCGTTCGTAATAGTAAAAGTAGAAAAGCTACTCATTTTGAAAGGATTAATTACATTATTATGTCTCTAATTAATTAGGCAAAAAAATAACTAATTGACACGTGGTTTTTGCTATTTAAAAATATATCTTAATTACATTATAGAATAAAGTAAGTTTGAAATTTTGAAATTATTTATCTTTTAAAATTATATTTTCTCTTAAAAAAAATTTTAAAAAAATGTATTTGACACATTATTTATAATTTTTATAGAAAATTAAATGATTGTTTATAATTTATTTTATTTAAAATATTTTGTTATATTTAATTATAAAATTAATTTTTGCACATTAGTTATTGCGTTAATTTCTATTTTATTTTAATTGGAATAAATTTTAAGTTTGATATTACGAAATTGCACCTATAGTTTTTTTAGTGATATAGATTCCCCTAGAGTAATTAGACAATTCCTAGCTCCTATTTGAGGTCTTTTTCATTAATAGATGTGCAATAATTTTATCACCATTAATGTATTTTGATTTGATGTGCATGAGTTTAATAATTAAGTCTAATTTCCAATTAACATTTTTCTATATATATATATATATATATATATATATATATTCATAATAGAGATTGCATGTCAACATATTTTTTATAAAAGCCTGAAAACCTCTCTTTATCATCAGATGCGTGAAGGCAAAGTCCAAAAACGACAATATCTGCTAGCGGTGGGCTTGGACTGTTACATATGGTATCAACAGTGGGCTTGAGTTGTTACAGATGGTATCAGAGCCAGTCACCAGGTAGTGTGCCAGCGAGGATTCTAGGCCTCAAGGGAGGTGGATCCCACATCGGTTAGAAAGTGGAACGAGTTGAGCCCCTAAAGGAGGGGAATTGTGAGAGACTTGAGCTGTTACAGATGGTATTAGAGCCAGTCACCAGGTAGTGTGCCAGCGAGGATTCTAAGCCTCAAGGGAGGTGGATCCCACATCGGTTAGAGAGTGGAACGAGTTGAGCCCCCAAAGGAGGGGAATTGTGAGAGACTTGAGCTGTTACAGATGGTATCAGAGCCAGTCACCAGGTAGTGTGCCAGCGAGGATTCTAAGCCTCAAGGGAGGTGGATCCCACATCGGTTAGAGAGTGGAACGAGTTGAGCCCCCAAAGGAGGGGAATTGTGAGAGACTTGAGCTATTACAGATGGTATCAGAGCCAGTCACCAGGTAGTGTGCCAGCGAGGATTCTAGGCCTCAAGGGAGGTGGATCTCACATCGGTTAGAGAGTGGAACGAGTTGAGCCCCCAAAGGAGGAGAATTGTGAGAGACTTGAGCTGTTACATATGGTATCAAAGCCAATTACAAAGAGTTCTGAGACCGAAATAGAAATTTTTGAACTAAAAAAATTATGTAAATATATTTAATATAATTTTGTAAATCATTCCAAGTCTCAATCTCTTATTTCAATCTTGGTTACTCCGAAATTATCCATTAATTTTTGGTGATAATCAAGACAAAAATTAATATTGTTCTCATTTTTAATTATAATAATGAAAAAAAAACTTTATAATAATTTTTTTTTATTTTTTAATATAAATTTAATTAAAAAAAAAAAAAAAACTTAAAACACATCCTAATAAATTTAATAAAATATAATGTTGAATACTAAAATTTTAATTTTAATGATATAATTAATATGTATATATATAACGGTAGAAATCTCTCAGCGTTATATTCTTTCCCGAATTCTTTATTAACGTCATCGTCTGCTTCTTCGTCTTCCGCTTTCCTTCTCTCTCTGTCTGCAAATCACTTTTCACTCTCTTTTTCTAATCCCTCCATTTCCAATCTCTGTCAACTGATCATTTTCCGTCATTCCTCTTCAACTTCAACCAGCGCTCTCCTGTGATCGGACTCTCCGTTCTCTTTTACTTTTGCAGCTCCACTCGCCACCGCCGGCGAGGTTTTTTCCGGACAATGATGCTCGAGAGTAGCAGCATGGAGCGATTATCGGAACGGAGTCCGAGATGTGAGCTTTTCGCTTTGTAGTTGAATGTCTGTGACTCGTTGTTGTGATTGCAAATTTGGTTTTGTTACTTTGATTTATGGCTTCCACGAACTCACCGCCTAACATTGATTCTTCGGAGTTGACGGAGGATTTAGCGACGAAGGCTTTGAATAAACGGTATGAGTGCCTTGTAACTGTTCGAACGAAGGCTATTAAGGGGAAAGGAGCTTGGTATTGGGCTCATTTGGAGCCTGTTCTTATACGAAATCCTAGTAATAGTCTTCCGAAAGCGGTGAAGCTCAAGTGTTCTTTGTGCGATTCTGTTTTTTCGGCTTCGAACCCTTCGCGGACTGCATCTGAGCATTTGAAGCGAGGCACTTGTCCTAATTTGAGCTCCATTTCTCTGTCTAATGTTTCGGCGTCGCCGTTGCCGATATCGTCGATCCCTTCTCCGACATTTCACAACCACAAGAAGCGAAGCTCCCCAATGAATGCTCCAATTCTCACTTCTTCCTATCAAGTTCATTCGCTTGCCATGATTGAGCCGACGCGGTCCTATGCTCCGCTAATTTCCTCGCCGCGGACGCCAGTGGCTCAAAATCCGCGGTTGAGTCAGCATCAGTTGGTGTTATCAGGTGGGAAAGATGATTTGGGTGCACTAGAAATGCT